AAAAGTCACCAGTGTAGTAGGAAGGCAGCCAGCTAAATCTCTGTGTTTCCACTTTCTCTACAGTATCCTCAGAGCCCAGCTACAGGGATTATAAAATCACTTCTCTGTACAATGGTATATCAAGAACGAGGAACAGAAATGAAAGGAAAAGCTGACCAAACACCTTCCCCATGATGACACATGAATTCAAGTAAGTGGCGGACATATTTATAACAGTTGTCATGTTCGACAAGGGGCAGATTTCTGCTCAGGAGGAAAAGGTTTCTGCCATTTTTCAGAGAAATCAGGAGGCCAGAAGATTGAGAACTGGCTGAGGACTTGTACAAACATACATGAAAACTTGTCAACAAGAAGGCAGTTAGGCTGCAGTCCCTTGAGACACCTGGTTCTGATCATTTCATGCATGTGCTGTCTTCATTTCTTCCCACAGATGAATTTGTGGTAAAATGTCCTCATTACCAAAGCGTTAACTAAGGGACTTTAAGTTACCTAACTGGTATCACTGTGTAATCCTGCTAGACATGTTACCTGGATATTGAAAACAGAAGATACGTCTTCAGGAAGGGCAGAGAGACCGAGTGAAGCAATGGGCTCCTGGCTCAGAAAGTTCATCCCTGGATGGAGCCTCAATTGTGCTTGTTCCTGACCAGGCAAGTGCTGTTGAATCAAGTTGTCACAGGCTGACTCTTTACAGTCTCTGTATCCCTGGGGGATCAATATCCAAAGCTCCTCATTAAACTAGTATTTTTAGTGTCATTCTCTTCCTTGGGCACTGTAAATCCTTAAAGACCAAGAAAATAGAAGAGAGAAATCCTTGATGTCTAATCCTTGACCTTGTTAAGCCAAATGTATACCATCCAGTTCTCTCCACATGTGCATGTTCACCTCTTTTTCACATACCTTGCACACAAGCACACGTACTCATTTTGTACTGAATTCCAGCTTCTCTTTTTAAAGTCAGAAACAAAAGCATCCATATCTAATTAATGATTTCTTGGAGCCTGATTCCAGTTTTAAGTGTGAAAACAGTCCATGTTTTGGATATAAAAAATGTTTTTGTAAATATAGGTGAGATACTATAAAGTTAAAAAATTTAGGGGTATTTCATCTTTAAAGTCAATGGATGTTTCCTGTATCTTAATTTATGGTCTCTATATTTCACACAGAATCTCATCTGTTCTCTGTCATCAGTATTGACCATGATCGATATACAGAGAGTTCATACTCCTTTTTCAGACTTTCGTAACCACATTTATCATGCAATAAATTCAATGCATATTTTGCTCTCCTTTGAGGACATTTGATTGATTTATATTTCTTTATTTTAGCTTGTCTTGTGATAAAATACAATGTCACTGAAAGGCAGTAGAGTGCAATTATGCCCATAAGTCAGAGAAAGACAAATACTGTATGATGTCTCTTATATGTGAAATCTAAAATAGTAAAACTCATGGAAATAGAAAGTAGAATGGTGGTTCTAAGAACTGAAAAGTGGGGGAAATGGAAAGATGTTGGTCCAATGGAGCAAACTTTCAGTTATGAGATTAATAAGTTTCAGGGATTTAATATACAACATGGTGACTGTAGTTAACAATACAATATTTTGTACTTGAAAGTTTCTTACATGTATCAAATAATTATATTGCATATCTTAAATTTGCACAATTTAATATGTCAATTATGTCTTAATTAAGCTGGAGAAAAAGAACACCAACAACCTACAGTATCTGCAGTATTCTATTCCAATACTGGTCTGCTTCTCCCTCAAGAGGATCCAATATTCTGATTATTAAAGTCAGCATTTCCTGAATTTTTTTGATAGTTTCTCTACTCTTCATAAACCTGAAAAAGGTACAGCTTACTTTTACTGGGCTTTGACCTTATAGCATTGAATTCAAAGTTATGTGTTCTTTTTGGTCTTACTTCTTCACTTTTGCAGGGAAAGAGTCTCCTTGAGCTAACAACTATTGCCAATATTCCTTCTTCCCCCCACCCCCAAGTATGGTTGTATATCCTAGCTGCAAGCCCTTCTAGCTCTTCTACATGAGCCGCCACCACAGCATGGCAACTGGCAGATGGATGGTGAGGTTCCATGACTGGGAAATGAACCCAGCTGGCTGAAGTGGTGAGAGAACCAATTTTTATCCACTAGGCCATCAGGGCTGGCTCTGGTCTTACTTCTTTTGTTCAATAAAATACTTGCAAATTAAAAATAAAAGCAGAGGAAAATTTGACTGCAGAAGAAGAGAAGATGAAATGATGACAGAAGCAGAGATTGGTGTCATGTGCTTTAAAGATGGAGGAATGGCCAAAAGCCAGAAATACAGGTGGGCCAGTAGAAGGTGAAAAAGGCAAACAATGAGAATCTCTCCTCAGAGACTCCAGAAGAAACCAGATCTGCCAATTCCTAGACTTTAACCCAGTGAAATATTCTGACTCCAGACTTCTGACCTCCACAACTATAAGAGAATAAATTTGTGTTGATTAAAAAGAAAGTCAAGTCATACTAGATTAGGATGGGCTCTAAATAAAAATGACTGATGTCTTCAATATAAGTTGTTATGGCAATTCTTTTACGTCTGGACTGAACAATAAAATTAACTTATTATGGATGGGCAGTCTAGACCATATTTGAAGGCTCTTATTGGGAGCTTATCTCTCCTACTGTACTACTTCTTGTTATATTGAGTGAAATATTCTGAATTTTTATTTTTGAGTCACATGCTTTGGTGCCTTACTGATTGGCTGACTATTTAGTTTTCAAAAATTGCGGTAAAATAAAAATAATTTAACTTACTGTTTTAACCATTTTTTTATTAATGTTATGATGGATTACAACCTTGTGAGATTGCAGTTGTACATTTTTGTTAGTCATGTTGTGGGTACACCACCTCCCCCTTTGTGCCCTCCCCCCACCCCCCCTTTTCCCTGGTAACCACCGATCAGATCTCCTTGTCAATATACTAACTTCCACCTATGAGTCGAGTCATATAGAGTTCATCTTTCTCTGACTGGCTTATTTCGCTTAACATAATATCCTCGAGGTCCATCCATGTTGCTGCGAATGGGCCAATTTTGTCTTTTTTTATGGCTGAGTAGTATTCCATTGTGTATATATACCATATCATCTTTATCCAATCATCAGTTTCTGGGCATGTAGGTTGGTTCCACGTCTTGGCTATTGTAAATAATGCTGCGATGAACATAGGGGTGCAAGGGACTCTTGGGATTTCTGATTTCAGGTTCTTAGGATAGATACCCAGTAATGGGATGGCTGGGTCATAGGGTATTTCTATTTTTAACTTTTTGAGAAATCTCCATACTGTTTTCCATAGTGCCTGTACCAGTTTGCATTCCCACCAACAGTGTATGAGGGTTCCTTTTTCTCCACAACCTCTCCAACATTTGTCGCTCTTGGTTTCGGATGTTTTTGCCAATCTAACGGGTGTAAGGTGATATCTTAGCAAAAGATTGAAAATTGACCATTCTTTTTCACCACACACCAAAATAAATTCAAAATGGATCAAAGACCTAAAGATTAGAGCTGAAACAATAAGTCTTCTGGAAGAGAATATAGGCAGTACACTCTTTGACATCAGTTTCAAAAGAATCTTTTCCAACACTATAACTCCTCAGTTGAGGGAAACAATAGAAAGAATAAACAAATGGGACTTCATCAGACTAAAGAGCTTCTTTAAGGCAAGGGAAAACAGGATTGAAACAAAAAAACAGCTCACTAATTGGGAAAAAATATTTACAAGCCACTTATCCGACAAAGGGTTAATCTCCATAATATACAAAGAACTCACACGGCTTAACAACAAAAAAATAAACAACCCGATCAAAAAATGGGTAGAGGACATGAACAGACATTTCTCAAAAGAAGATATGAATATGGCCAATAGACACATGAAAAGATGTTCATCATCGCTAATCATCAGGGAAATGCAAATCAAAACTACACTAAGATATCACCTTATACCCGTTAGAGTGTTTTAACCATTTTAAGCGTACAGTCCAGTGGCATTAAATACATTCATATGGTTGTGCTTAATCACCGCCATCTACACATAAAACTCATCATCTCACAAAACTGAAATCTGTGCCTGTTAAACAGTAACAATCTGTACCTACTTGCCCCCAGACTCTGACAACCTCATTTTAATTTCTGTGACTGAATTGCACTACTCTAGAAACCTCATGTAAATAAAATCACAAATTATTTGTCCTTTTATGACTGGCTTATTTCACTTCTCTGAATGTCTTCAAGACTAATCCGTGTGGTAGCATGTTTCAGAATTTCCTTTCTTTTTAAAGTTGAGTAATGTCTCATTGTATGGATATATCATAATTATAATATTCATTCATCAGTCAATGGAATCTTGAGTTGCTTTCACCTTTTGAATATCATGAATAATGCTACTGTGAACATGAGTATACAAATACCTGTTTGAATTCCCGCATTCATTTATTTTGGTAATATACCCAGAGTTGAAATAACTAGGTCATATAATAATTCTATTTTTAGTTTTTTGAGGAAATACTATTTTGATAGCAGCTGCACTATTTTACATCCCCACCAACAGTGCACAAGAGTTCTAATCTCTCCACATCATTGTCAATACTTTAATCTGTTTTTCTTTTCTTTTTATAGTAGCCATCTTAATGCATATCAGGTGGTATCTCATTGTGGTTTTGATTTGCATTTCCTTAATGATTAGTGATGGTGAGCATCTTTTCATGTGATTCTTGGCCATTTGTATATCTTCTCTGGAGAAAGTCTATGTAAGTCCTTTGCCCTTTTTTTTTTTTTTTTTTTTGGTGAAGAAGATTCACCCTGAGCTAACATCTGTGCCAATCTTATTCTATTTTGTATGTGGGACACCACCACAGCATGGTTTGATGAGTGGTGGATAGGTGCATGCCTGGCATCTGATCTCATGAACACTAGGCCACCGCAGCAGAGTGCACTAATTTAAACTTAACCACTACCCACTAGGATGGCTCATTGTTTCATTCTATTTTTTGCAAACTTGGAAAACTTTGTCCTTGCAGCAATGGAATATGAGGATTATGTGGCCATCTACCATCCACCGAGGTACATGATCACCATGAAGTTCTTCATCTGTGGTCTGCTGATTCTACTATCCCTGATCATTAGCATTGCAGATGCCCTGCTCCACAGTCTGATGGTGTTGCCACTGTCCTTCTGCACAGACCTGGAAATCCCTCATTTCTTTTGTGAACTTGCTCAGGTCATTAAGCTTTTTTATTCTAACACTGTCATAAAAAACATCCTGGTATATTTAGTGACTGGTATACAGGGTAGTGGTCCTCTCCCTGGGATTATTTTTTCTTACATTCAAATTGTCTCCTCCATTCTAAGAATAGCATCCACCAGGGGAAAATATAAAGCCTGTTCTACCTCGAGATTTGATGTCCCTGTTGTTTCCTTATTCTATGGCACAGCTTTAGGGGTGTACATTAGTTCTGCAGTTACTCACTCTTCCAAGAAGACTGATAGAGCCTCAATGATGTACACCATGGTCTCTCCAATGTTGAATCCCTTCATCTACAGCCTTAGGAACAGGGACATGAAGGAAACCTTGATGAAACTCATCTGAGGAACATTTTATTGGTTATTGTGCACCTACCTTGGGTTTGGGCTTCTAGAATGAATCAAAGTACAGGAATACTGGGTGAGTCAGAATCTTGGACTCTTCATTCACCAAGTTCTTAAGCTAAATGGTTAAATACCGAAATAACTAAGGGTGGTTCAACTGAAGTTTGAACACTGAAGTTTTGGTCTTCTCTAACATCGGGATTTTGTGAACTCCCTGAGCTTGACGTTTTTTATCAGTTTCCATGGAAGTACAACTTGAGTAATGGATTCTTTGCATAGTGATTTTGAGGGGAATGTTCTTAGAAGGAATGTTAGTGACTGAAAAAGGATAGGACAGGATAAGAAGCTAAACAAGGGCATCATCCTTGCCAGAGGACTAGCCTCAGTGTTTATTTCAGGTGCTCTTAACACACACACAAGATAATGTCAATTATGTGTGGAGATGGATATGTTAATTTGCTTAACCATGGTAATTTCATTATGTGCATATATAGAATCATCATGCTGTATACCTTAAAAGTAAAAAAAAAAATGTTAAAGAAGTGGAGAGAAAGGTGTAATATTCTCTTGGTCTTTCAAGGTGAGGCAATCAGCCAACGTGAATTCAGCAAAGAGAATGAATTTCTCAAATTAAGGTCTTTCTGTTGATGGTTTCCTTTCCTATGCAAAAGCTTTCTAGTTTGATAGAGTTCCAGCTACTTATTTTTACTTTGTTTCCTTTGCTTTCAGTATCAAATCCAAAAACTCATTGCAAAAATCAACATCAAAGAGGTTACCCTCTACATTTTCTTCTACGAATTTTACTTTCATATCTTACATTGAAGTCTTTAATCCGTTGAGTTGACTTTTGTGAGTGGTGTTAAATGGGAGTCCAGTTTCATTCCTTTTTATTTTTAATTTTTTATTGAGGTAACATTAGCTTATAATTGTGTAAATTTCAGGTGTACATCATTATAGTTCAACTTTTCTGTACATTCTTGAATCCTCCTTACCTGAAAGAGTATCTACTTATCTATGAACAGAAATCAGCAGAGCCATTTGGCTCGAGCCTATTTACCATTTTATGTTTCAGTTCTTTTTGTGGTTTGTGGAAACTTATCTTTTGTTGAGCCTGGGTTCTTCTGTCACTAAATTCTTCTAAAATGACTAGATAACATAATGGCTAAATACATCTTAACTTGAGATTGAAACCTGACTTAATCTGAATTTTGTTTTGTGTAGATCTGTGTTGTTTGACAAATGATTTAAATTCTTAACTCATTCTCTTTTCTCAGGTTTCATATAAGGAGAATCTGAAGTAGTGTTAAAGTTGCAGTAATATTTTCATGGTGACTCTCAGAAGAAGGAAAGGTGTAGAAGATGGATAGTGCAGGGCAAGAATGATGGCAGGAAGAACAGCTGTGGTGACTTCTGGAGCTGGCTTCCACCTGCTCCCATGATATGAACATGTCAATTGAAACATAAACTTAGGCCTACAGTGAGACAGGGAGCTTATCCTTCATACCGTAATTTAGGTAATTATTAGGACCAGTCACTGGCAAACTATATTCTTTTGAGGCAACATTAGCATCCATTATAATCAGTTTCATTATCTACAAAATTGGCACAATGATATCATCTTAGTAGTTTGAGATGAATGTGAGATATTTGAACTTCATCACTGAGGAAACCTTCAGTTCTAATAAGAAAAAAACAATTCCTATTTCTAGTATGGTCAAACAGTAAAGAGAATTACCTGTCATTACAAGACTCCAGAGGTAGGGGGAGTGTACAAAAACAACAAAGTATAGATCATTCATTCCTCCATTTGGTAGCTTAATCCTAGGGCTGGTTCTCCTCAAGATCACAAGGTTGTGCCAGCAAATGCAGTATCATACTTGAGCATGATGGCCAGAGTCAGAAAACAGTTCTCCCCTGCTTCAGATAAAAATGTGTCTTTTGATTGAGACAAGAAGAAGACATCTGTAGTTGGTGAAATGGTGGCCCTCAATAAAATATATCCACGTATTAACTTCCCTAATATTTGGAAGCATACTAAGTGTCCATGGATGGGTAATTGGATAAAGATGATGTGACATATATATGTATACATATATATATAATATAGATTGTACACTATAAATGTACAATGGAATGTTGTTCAGTCATAAAAAAGAAGGAAATCCTACCATTTGTGACAACATGGATGGACCTTGAGGGCATTATGCTAAGTGAAATAAGTCAGATGGAGGGGGACAAATACTACATGATCTCACTTATATGTAGAATCTAAAATAAAACAAAACAAAATCCCGAGCTCATAGATATAGAGAAAAAATTGGTGGTTGTCAAACAGGGGAAGTATGGGTGGGAGAAATTGGTGAAGGGAATGAAAAGGTAAAAACTTCCAGTTATAAGATAAATATCATGAGGATGAAATATACAGCACTGTGACTATAGTTAATAATACTGTATTACATATTTGAAAGATGTTAAGAGAGTAAATCTTAAAGTTCTCATCACAAGAAAAACACTGTAAATATGTATAGTGACAGATGATAACTATACTTATTTTGGTGATCATTTCACAATATGTACAAATATAGAATCATTAAGTATATGCCTGACACTAATATAAATCTATATTTCACTTATACCTAAATTAAAAAATAAAAATAGAACTACTATACGATCTTGGAATCCTACTTCTAGGTGTCTGTGCAAAGGAAACAAAATCAGTATCCTAGAGTGATATTTGGCCTTGCATGTTCATTTCAGTATTATTCACAATAGCCAAGATATAGAAACAACCTAAGTGTCCATTGATGGATGAATGGATGATGAAAATATGGTACACACGTACAATGAACTATTATTTAGCTACAAAAAAGAAGGAAATTCTTTCCTTTGTGACAACATGGTTGAACTTGGAGGACATTATGCTAAGTGAAATAAGCCCACCAGAGAATGGCAAATACTGTATGGTATCACTTACATGTGGAGTCGTAAAAACAAGTCAAACAAGCCAAAACAAGAGAGAGTAAAATAGCAGTTGCCCAGTGCTGGAGTGGCCGGAGAAGTCGGGAGATGTTAGTCAAAGGGTATACATTTTCAGTTATAAAATGAATCAGGTCCAGGGATTTAATTCACAGCGTGGTGACTAAACTTAAAAATACTCTACTGTATATTTGAAATTTATGAAGAGGGTGTATCTTAAGTGTTCTAAACAAAATAAATGGTAACTATGTGAAGTGATTGATTTGTTAATTAATTTGATTTTGGTAATCATTTCACAATGGATGCATACATCAAGTCATCACATTTTAAACTTTAAATATATAGTTTTAACTGTCAATTATACCTCAATAAAGGTGGAAAAAAGTCCAGTTTTAAAAACTTGAAAAGTTTCCCATTTTTTAATGTCACCATACATAATATACAAATAGAAAACACTGAAAATAAATAAATAGCTGCTAAATCCAACAACATAATTGAATCTCAGATGCACAATGAAGAGAATAACAACAAGACAAAGGATGCATTCATTAATTTCAAACTTTAGCAAGTTGAAAAGAAAGTGAATTTATTCAGTAAACAGTAAATAGATATATACTGGGATCTTAGAGATGCATCAGAGTCTTAAGATAATGACCATCTTGTAAGACAAGAATGATCAAATACTGGCCAAATTAATCCAATTTCTGTCTCCGTAGCTACATTGCTTCCTCCTTTTCTGTGTGTCATCTTCATTTCTGTCTATCTTAAAATTATACATGTAGGGCCCACCCAGATAAGACGGAATAAACTCCTCCTCTGTAAATATCCTTTTCCAAATCAGTACAATCATCCTCTTAGCGTAAGTTAATACTCACAAGTTAGGAAGATTAAAGTGTAGACATAGCATTTTGAGGGTCAACATTCAACTCACTACAGAGAGGTCATCTTGTTGACTGCTTGGAAAGCTCTGTTAACAGCTTCCCCAGGGAAGAGCAGGCAGATTTCTGTCTCAGGGCACCATGTCCACATAAGACGCCTGCATTTGCTACCACCAAATGCTGACACTGACAAAGACTCTTCATGGAGATCTTAATGAATCACTATTCTTCCTGTACATTCCCTATCTCTGAAGTCCCTGTAATGAAAGATAACTTTTTTAATTGTTTGATAACTTGAAACTTAGAGCTTCTTTTTCTTGTTAGAAATGAAGTCTTTCTCATGGATGAAGTCAATTATGTCACAATCATTTCATACCACAAAGGTATTCTAATTATGCCAATTTTATAGATAATGACATAAGTATGGTGGACGTTAATGTTGTCTCTGAAAGATACAGTTTACTAGTCACTTGTCTCACTACTTTCTAAATTAGGATATGAAAGATCACCTCCCTTCCCCCACTGTTAGCCTAACACTGGGGTGCAAATTCATACATTTCACTATTGTCATTGTAAGTGTTTTTATTGAAATAAATAATGCAGATATATGTGAATCCCCCACATCATGTATTTGAACAATCTTAACTTTTTTTGCTTCCGCAGGGGAACCACTACATGAACTTCCCATATTATTCCCTTGTAGCTTTTGCTATAACTGATATTATTGTTCCATGATCAACTTCATTGTTTTGCCTTTTGAAAGCTTTATATAAACCAAACCATATAATACATGTCATTTACAATTGGCATTCTTATGTAATTTATCTTTATTTTAAAATATTTAAATCCACTTTATTAATTTTAATTACCAGAGAGTATTTCACTACATTTTATTTTCCTACTCCCTAACTGATAGGTATTATTGTTAATGCATTTCATCCTACTGATGTTTATGAATACACATGCAATATAAAAACGTATATGGGGATACTATCACATTCTTGATGCTATTGTCTCCAGGAGGGGGAGAAGAAGAACTGAGGGACATACAAAAGAAATGTCTTCTATTCTATCCTATTTTGTTACTTTATACAAAAAACCTGAAGCTGACAAAGCAGAATGTCAACATTTGCTAATTCTTGGATGA